GGGAAGGCCCTGACGACGCCCTTTAAGAATCCGGGCTGTACTGAAAAGCAACCCTTTAAATTCGGAACCTGGACCGATGTCAACCCTTAATGTTCAGGGCATTAAGGGCAAATGGCCTTGAATCGACAGCCCTGGCGGGGACATAACTTATGTACCTATGGAAATTCGGGGAAGGGCCCAAGCCTGTTTGTCAGGATTCTAGGGACAAGACCAACTCAGCCCGTACAGGGAAACGGACAATCCCGAAACTAACCTTTTAAATATAAGCGGTGAGACGAATCCAGTCCGGAATATTCAGGGGGAAACGGACAAATTTTCGCGTAGCGACAGCCCTGGTTGGGACCAATGGGTCTACCGAACAGTGCCCATGTGATGACAAATCTGACAGCAATTCGCTGAAGTTTCTCTTTCCATGCCAGCTCAAATCTGATGCGTACACGACAACGGATCGGTAGCTTAGTTTGAAGATGACAAATGCTGTTCAATCCCGCACTGTGCACTAAACTGTTGACCGGGGAGTTTCCCAAGCCGACCAAGCCCAACGCAGGACTTTCGGCATGACGATGATAATGAATCACTCTGCCAATGCGCAATCTGATAACCTATGTCGGATCGGAAGGGAACTGGTGTCTGAAATTATTGCTAGAAACTTCCAACACAGTGCCACTAGGGTGAAAAAGGTTTGTTGAAAGGGGCTAGGGAGCACCACCCTATTGCTCACCCCACTGGGAGCAGTTCCCTGTTGTGGTGAGGGGCGAGGAGCAATCTAGGGTCCTCCGTGCTGGAAGTAGGAAAACAAAACAGGTCTGGGCCTTTGTTGAGGGTGGGTTAGGTAAGTAGAGGGAGAACCCCTTTCATGTTACCCCTGCTGTAAGTTGTAACCCGCCACCCATGGTAAGGTATGTAGGGGGAGAACCCCTTTCGTTTCCCCTGCTGTCAGTAGTAACCAGCCATCCATTTGTTTACGATATCGAGGTAGGGATGGGCATAAACCATAGAAGGAAGTGACGCGGGTGAATGTGGTTCTGCATAACAGATTTCGGGTCTAGTCGCCAGTGACACCAAGATGTTATGCAGTGCTTTCTGCGGAAACAGAGAGCCAACACATACAGTATTTCTGAGTGTTCTTTTTACTAGGGCAGTGTATCGCACGAATTCTCAACCGCAAAGTAGGGTGCAATATCTGTCATGTCCAGAGGAAGTGCTGTCAAATTGTCAATACTGAACTCTGGTCACAAAAGTAGCAGCCAAACCACAGCCCTGTCCCACTCGAGGTTGGCGGTAACTAGTAGCATATACACTTGTTAGTATTATGGAGACACAAACTTTCTTCTGGGCGGAATTGATTGACAGCTCCACGAGGTGCCAGTTCTGTTAAAAGCCCCTATGCCCGAGGGGACTGAATATGGAATACATACCATATTTTGTATCGTTTGAAAAACATCATCTCTCACTAATATGAAACTTCTAAACTCTAGAATATAATGATTTGATCGATATTAAACAGTAAAAAAACGGGCAACGCGTCCACAATGGGCAAACAGTAGATGGATATAGCAAAATCTGTGAACCTCAGTAGTAACTTTCATACAATTTATTATAGTTTATCTTGCAGATTTTCTCCAGATGTTCCAGATTACAATAAAAATGGAATTTATCTAACAAAACGAAATATATTCACCAAGCCATCTGCATAGTTATTGATTTATGTTGAAATGAGTATATATAGGTTCATTATGGTTCCGCTCATAATCAATTAGATTGAAAACATAACAATGGTACAAGAATATTTTATTTGAATCACGCTTTGGCAATAAATTACACATAAATATACAGTTTTTATAAGCTCTTTATTTTAAAAGCTAGTTGATAAAACTAAGGTAGCGGTATGAACTTAATCTTCACAAAGATTTTGTTTTTCTAATTCTCGTTATCACATTTGAAGTCTACGACTATAATCATATATTATTCTGTGTAAACAAACTTCGCTGGGCACAAACATTTAGTTCGCCCATGCCTTAGAGCGTATTCCTACGGCCTCATATCAGACCACCTCGAATCGAGATTGTACTTTTTGCCTAGTAAAAGTAACGAGAGGCTTTGGATTTAGGGGATTTTTCAGAGTGAGCTTGATATGAGGTCAGATTGATACGAGGATAGGAATACGCTCTTAGCTACAAGGATCTGGTTGTAAATTGTAAAACATAACCACAACTGTAGCTATTTCTGCAAGTTTGCCATCTGTTCGATCTGGAGGACTTTAAACAATATGCCGTTGCCTGTGTTGAGTTGCAACTAGACGCTGTTACTTTGGAGCCTTGGTTCAAGACGTGATCAGGCCTGGCAACATGTGTAGGGTTATTTGCGTTGTTGAGCGCTCCATTATACTCGACTGGAAACCAGGGCTCAGGATAGCAAGGCGTTTTACCCTGTTTGCCCTGCATTTCAGGGTGAAAAATTGGACCCACACTGCTAGAATAGGGTTGGGCTGGGCGTCCACCCTGTCATCGTCAGGCAGGGCTGAAAATAAACCCTGCAAATGCTGTTTTACGCTTATGTGCAACACTGCCTTTTCCCGGCTGGTTACGGCAGACACCCTGCCAACTTTTCCTCTTTTGTTGAACTTTACTAACTGCGCGGCTATTCCTCTAAGTAGCGTTTGTGGGTGAAATTTTCAGAATCGGAACGTACTTGAAACACCAGAGATTCAGCTCTAGCACGGTGAGTGGCGTTTGTGACTGAAATGTGTCTAGTAGCGTTTGTGACTGAAATTCCAGAATCGGCTAAGTACTTTCAACACCAGAGATTCAGCTCCAGCACAGAGAGTGGCGCGTTATCGTAGTGACCGCACCTAGAAGACCCACCGACAGGCCTCTCATCTCCCCACCTACACCACTAAAACCTCAACCACCACGCACTTACGCATAGAGTCGACCACTTAGAAGACAGCCAGTGTTGCTGGGTTGATCATGCTTACCTTTTTATTCTTGGAAAAAACCATCCATAATTTATTTGCTATTGACCATGCTTCTTTCTCTTTGGCTGGGAAGACCCAGTTCGACAAGATTTTCTGGCTTCTAGGAATCATCGATTTGGCAGGATCGACTGCTAGACCTAAAAGTTTTAGCTAGGCAGTGTTTTCGGATTTCTCACCCTGCCAGATTCGACCTCGAAAAAAAAATCACACTGCCATTTCTTGGGTACGACCGCCAAGGCACACTGCAGAGGCAGGGTGTAACGGGTCACAA